AGTTTTGTTTTTGTTTTTGTTGTTGTTTTTTGTTTGTTTGTTTGCCTCTTTTCCTTCCGGCTGCTGTTCGTTTGTGTTGTGTTGTGGTGTCGTGCTCTGTAAAGGAGGCAGCAGCAGAGGCAGCAGCACGGTGGGGGATTGTGTGTGGGGTGTGGGAGGTTGCAGAGGGGGGCTAAAAAAAGGGGAAATTATTAAAAAATCAAAAAAAAAAAAGGAAGATGAAAAAGACATCAAAAGGCGTGTGTATGTCCCTCCGTCGATCTAAAAAAAAAAAAAAAGATAAAAAAGCCGACGTAAACAGTAATTTGCAGCGCAATCATAAAAATAAAAAAAAAAAGGAGAAATGGATAAATTCATGCGTGCGGAGACACACATGCCAACCCTCTCCCATCACGTTATATGTGCCCATAAATTATAACGTGCAAACACATCCCACATACACACACACACATAAAAAAAAAAGGAACACTTCCCCCTCCCCCTCCTCTGCCCTGTCATTTCCATTCAGACATGCACGCCCATTTGCAGATGCAGACCCTTCCCCCTCTCTCTCCTCATTTCCTCCCCCACTCTCCTATTCGCTCGTTAAGTTCGCCTGTTATTCTCTTCTGCCTTGTCGCCTCCCTTGTGCGCACGTCTCAGCTCGACCCAACCACGCCATACATGTTTGTCACACAACTCCCACCTCCGGTTTATTTTCTCCTTTTCCTTCTTTTTTCTGCCTCGCTACCGTCGCTTGGGAGGGCAAAGAGGGGGGGAGTTTCACTCGGTTCTTGTTGTTCTTTGTTTTTTCCATGTTGCCTCTCCATTAACCCCCCAGCCGCTCCACTCCTCCTCCTCTTATTTTTTTTTTTCTTTCGTCCTCACGTCTTTGGACATCGCCTTCTCTTCCCTCTTCTCCCCCCTTTTCTGCAGCCCCTCCCAGCGGTCCCCTCTCCGTCAGAGCCCTGTTGTCTCCGTCTGCCTGCCTGCTGGGTTGTTCCGTTGAATACCACCCCATTCCGTGTTGTTGGTTTTTCCGCAAACAAACAAACAAACACACACAAAAAAAAAAAAACATATTTTTCTCCGCCTCCTCTTCCCCTCGCCTGCGTGTGTGTTATTTCTGTTTTTCCCCTCAATCTCTCTCTCTCTCCCTCTTTTTTGTTGTTTCTTTTTTTTTCTAATCCTTTCGTTTTCTGTGTGTGTGTTTGTGTTTTACCGCTTCCTTCTCCATTTAATGGCTGTTGCATCCGTCCCATACACACACACACACACACCCCTTTTTTGTTTGTTTGTTTCTTTTTTTCGTCGTTGTTGTTGTTGTTTCCTCTCACACACAAACTGTGCGCGGCCGCAAGAGTATAAGAAAGGCTTTTTTTTAGTGCCAAAAAGGCAAAAAAAAAAAAAAAACATTTGTCTTCACGCAAATACGTCCATATGTATATATACGTGTCTGTCTGTGCATGTCTGTCTGTCTGTGTGTGTGTGTGTGTGTGAGAGCACCCGCACCGCGCCGCACAAACACACACACAGACAGACAGACATGCAC